GTTAATCCTTTTCTTATGACCAATCACCACGTCCTACGCTTTTGTTCTGAAGACTCAAGTTCAGACTTACGGCAAAGGGCCACGTGCCAGCCTCCATGTGCTTCTCTAGCTGCAGCTACAACTCTGCGCGCTTCCTGCACCGGGCCAGCCTGAGCTCCTGGGGACACTCGTGGCCTGTGCTGTGCATTCTGTGTGGGACTTGGTTCTTCCTGTCCCACGCTGACTCACCTTGCGAATCTTGGTTTTCTCTGAAGTTGCTTCTTTCTTCCCAGTAGTCACCTCAGGTGATGACTGAGGAGGCAGAAGTAGAATTCGAGGTCTTATTGTACCCAAGTGAGTATTACTGTCACTGAGCCGTGGTGCCCACATGGACACTTATAGTGGAAAAAAAAATTTCTTCAATTGTAGTACATGGCTCTGCTTTCAAAACAAACCCGACTTTGTTGCAATAGCACTGGATCTAATGAAGCAGGAGAGGGAACAAGCCTGGGGACAGAGAAGAGGGCTAGCCCTGAGGTCAGTGTGTGGCTGAAGCTTAAAATACTCCTAACCGGCACCACAGCATGGCAGCTATGCAAAGGGCAAGCAGCAATGAGTGCGTGTCCACGTATGTGAATGGAAAGACTTACGGAACTGCAGGTCTCTGACATCAGGGACACCCAGTTGCAGTGCAAGGCTTAGTGGTCGGGGCAGAGATGGGCTATTCCACCCCTACGCCCAGAGAAACTGTTTCAAGGAAATCCATCCGCTAGGGGCACAGGTCTCATCTTCAGTGACTGAGGACCATACCAGATGTCTGAGCCGACAGATCTCCCCAGCGGCCAGAGAGCTGTGAGCACTCTGTCTCCTTTATCAGTAGGCACACGCAGCCCAGAGATCGTCACTACGCTTTAATTAGGGTCCCCGTGACAAGGTACACGTTGGGCTGGCAATGCACCCACATATCAGTAATCATGTGTAGCAGCCCTAATAACAGCGGCATTCGAAGGAATGGAATTCCCTGGCTGACCAGGCAGGTTTTCCACTCTTGTCTCCTAAAGGCAACAGCTCTCTGGAATTTTCCTAGACCTCACTAGGGATGAGGGGGCTTGAGGGGTGCAAAAGACCCGGTAGCTGGAAAAGAGCTTTTCTTACATTAAGCACGATGGAAGCACAAGTAATTTAGTTGGAGTAATAAATGGAATGTGACTTCATTTTGAGCTAAAGCTTGATGAAATGGGACATACGGCCACACTTAACTAAACGACTTAATATAAAGAATCACGAGAATGTCTCAGAATTCACAATCGGAGTCAACTTGTGCAACTAAATGATAGGAAGAGATTTTTCCTTATTTTGAGGACCTGAAGACCAAGCCATCCTCCTATGAATCATTTCCATTGCTCGTGGATGTGTCAGAGTGGAGGGATCTACAAGATCATCCAGTACAGTCCCTTCTTTACGCACATGATACGTGACTGAGGTCACACAGTGAATAGCTGGCAGCTGGGGGCCTGTGAGTGGACTCGCTCTTCTCCTGCTACCATGCCAGTGCACCTGGATAAGAACTGCACACGCCACTGGTGTGGACGGGAGTGGGCATGTGAGCAAGCCACGCTCCTGGACAGCAGCAGGCATCCTCTCTGTTTCCAATCCAACTCCATCCCAAGGCAAGGTGGAAGACCTCCTCTAAGAAATACACTCTGAAGAGTCAACTTCATAGCAACAACTGCTGTGAGTCTGCTGCAGGACTTCGGGCTTCTTGGCTGGGAAATATCTACACAGGCTCTCCCAGCAATGAGTGTGTGAATAACATAAGTGATGTCCTTTTGTGGGCTTTCAACACACACACACACACACACACACACACACAGATTATTTTTAGGGCCAATTATTCTCCTTGAGGCACAGAGACCACGCAGAACATCAAAGTCCTGGCAGGGCACCTGGGATGGAGGCCCTGGTGGGAGGAGACTGCTGCCCTCAAAGTCCCTGGAAGCAGCAAGTCCAGGCAAATGGCAGGTTAGCCAGGGTCTCAGTGTTTGTATGCGATGCAGAAAGGAATATGGTTATAAAAAGGATGTTTTAAAACATTCTGAAAGTATTTTAATAGTACGGAAGTCAGTATTTTGCTAGAATTTATATATGTACTTTTCTGGGACCCACTAGTGTCACATGGAACTTGTACTGGTTTTTAAAAAGTACTTCTTAGGTAAATATCCGCTGTAGACTCACCCTGAGGGCCAGAAAGATCTGTCTTTGAATATTCTTCACGACGGATTAATGATTCCGTAAGACATTGTGCAGCAGACATTTCTAGACACGCTTTTTTAGAACACATCTAGAAATATTTCTAACTTAACAGTTAAGATGAAATCTGTCCCCTGAGAAGATTATCTTGTTTTCTCAGAATAAAGCAACCCAATGGCCACTTTATTTTGTATTTACAGAATCTTTTACTGTTAGCAGGAAATAAGCCATGTCCTAGTTAATTTAAGAATTTAAATTGGCAATATGGTCCCTGGTTCCAAAGCAGTATAAACAAAACCTGACCATATATGAGTACAGCTAAATGTGCAAACTGGCATATTTATGACACTGATGGAGAAACAAAGAGGAATGGATTGGGGGCTATTTCAGCATTAGCATACAAGAAAATATACAAATGATTATTATGTGCATTTTATTTGAGGAACAGAAAGTTGTTCAGGTGGAGGTGGAGGTGGAGGAGTTTTCTGACCTAAGCAACCTAAATGGACAGACACACCTTTGGGTGCAGAGTGGTCCTGTCACTCGCTAACCTTGTGACTTCGAGTCTACAGAGCTTGTTATTTCTATTTTAGAGGCAAGAAAACAGGAGCGTTCATTAAATATATCCCGGAGATCAACATTTCAGTCATTATTAAGTACCAAATACATATCTGAATTATAGAACCACAACAAAAAGATTTTTCCTCCTCTTTTCTATTTCTCCCTGGTTAGATGAAAATGACTGATGGCATCTAGAGTTTGAAAAGAAGTGAGCTGTCACATTTAATCACACCATGAAGGCAAAGAGCAAAATGTTATAGGTTAAGAAACCGGGGCTTAAAGAAACAAAGTCACTTGCTAAACATGACAGTAAGTGGCAGGGCTTGGAGTGGAAAGGCTTGTTTCTTCCTGAAAGAACTCTCCCTTTCACCGAACAAAATCCCTCCATCGTACCTCACTCTGCTGGGAGCGGACAGAAACTCAGTATCCGCCTCCTTGCTTTCGATGGGGTGCAAAATGACCTTCGGAAGTTCAGAGGGCAAAGGGTGGAAGAGGCGGGGAGCTGAAGGTGCAAAGCCCAGCAGGGCTCTGTTCACACAGCCCCAGGTGCAGACCTCAGACACCCTGAAGCCACTGGACTGAGGACACGCTGACCCAGTTGGTGGAGAAGGGAAACCCATTCTTAAATTAGCTCTCGGGGCTTCCGGCGCCCTCTGCAATGTCTAAACATCCTTCCACGTGCATGGATGAGACTTCTGCCTGGCAATCTTTCTCCAGGAAGTTCAGGAATTCTGTTAACCCTCCATGGTTATTTTCCCTCCTGTAGTGCGAGATGCTGAAGACTCATTGCTGCAAATATATTATTTACATTTTCCATACATTTTGTGTTGCTCAAATAAATCAAAGCCTATTCCTTCATTCAAAGTCTTAGGAATCCCTTGCGTCAGAGAAATGGCTAGTTAAAGTCCATTTCTATGTCTTTTACTACCTTTAAAAGAATGGTATATATTATTTTGGTGTTTTTCTCAAATTAAAAGTATTTTACAATTTCCAGCAGAGGACATAAATGGAAATTTCACTATGTACAGTGGGTTCTCTGGCTAGCAGCCGGCATGGGAAATGACGGGAGGCTTTGTGAAGCAGAATTGGGTAACTTTCTTCTGTCTCTCTCTCCTGCTTCCCTCTCGCCTGTCTCCCTCCTTCCCTTCTTTCCCTCCTCCTTTTCCTTCCTCCTTTCCTCTCCTCCTTTCCTTTCTTTCCTTTAACTTTTGAATATCACGATTTTCAAATATGAACAAGTGAGAGAAAATAGTATAACAAACTTTCATGTACCCACGAACTCAGCTCCAAAATTCATAAATGCTTGTATCTTTTTAATATTTAAAAATAAAACTCGTGTATTATGTTTAAAAAATTAGTCTTCTTTCTTAGCCTAAGCAAAGCGCCTTTATCACAACTAAACACACAACTCTAATTCCTTAATATCACTTGTAATGGTGAGAGAGAGAGGGAGAGAGAGCGCCACTGGGCTCCCGATGGTAGTCACAGGTTAGTTGGGAGCTTCTGGGAGGTGGTTAGGCAACACTGACGCTTACACTGATGGAGAAGCGGATCCCCTTTCTAATGTGGATGGGCCTCGTCCAATCAGGTGCAGGTCTGATTGGAACAGAGTCTGACACGATGAGCATCCCTCGAGTCAGAGAGAATCCCTACGGCTGATGGCTTAGGGTGAGCACTCTGGCTTTCTCCTTGCCTTCAGACTCCTCCGAAGCATCAGCTCTCCGTGGGTCTCAAGCTTCCTGGCCAGAAACTGTGTCTTAGACACTATGGATCTGGGTCTCAGGCTTGGAAAGGGACCCAAGCCATCACCTCTCAGGCACCTCTGACTTACACAGCAGATCTTGGAATTTGCAATCAATGGGGGGAATCCTTATGACACAACTCCTCCTTTACAGATTTACATCTTATTGTTCTGTTTCTCTGGAAACAAAACCTCACAAAGTGAAGAATTTGTATATTAGTTTCTTCATCCTCACCTTCATCCAAGGAACCATTCTCACGTCTTTATTTGCAACTGGATGGAGTCTACTCTCAACCTCATGCTGCCCTATGAATGCAAGACTATTCGGCCCTCTTCAAGTAAACAAGCCCAAGTGTACCATGCTAGGAGGAAGTAGTCCCAGTCTCCCATGAGAAATCATTTTCTCAGCATAACACGTGCTCAACAGCAGCAAGGTTGGCTGCTCAAGGTTCCCGCGTCATTTACTCACCCAGTGCTGTTCAGGTAGCTCTGCCCGACACTGCAGTCCTTTGACAGAGAGGATGGATTGAACCAGAAGGCAGGCAGGCACTGCCCGTTGCTGTGCCTCTCATAGCCATAGTCACTGTTGGGGAAAGAGCCAAGACACACCCTTCAGCCGGTGGGGAAGTCACACAGCACAGTTCCACGCTAGGCCACAGCCAACTTCTACTTGAATCAAAGTCATTTCCGAATCAATAACTTCTCAAGAATGGAACTTTTTCACAGACTATCAATTACCCCTGAAAATATCCCACAGCACCCCTAATTCCACTTAAGGTCCTTTAACCTATAGAGCAGATTATGTTTGCACTGGAAGGATGCACAGTATTGACTGCAATTGGAAAACAGGCAGCAGTAGAAGCTCAGCCCTTAGGGAACACTGCAAGGCAGAGCCCAACACACTGCCTTGGGGCACAGTGCTCATTACTGAGGATGTCTTTGGGGTGCTCTTCCAAGACATCTGGACCTACCCAGTGGGGCTGAGCCAGGTCTCCCTGTGCATGTGCCATATGCTTCAAAGTCACAGCCAAAAAGCAAATGTCCTTCAGGAGTGTCCTGAGCATTCCCTCAGGAAAACATTTTCTTCCTAGGTGGTTAGCGTGCCAGTTGGGACTAACTGCTTTGAATCCTTCTGCTCTGGAAAGAGTAAGGCTCCTTTCTCAGCCCCTCCCATTCTCGCCTCCCAGGCCGCTGAGTGGCCTGAGATTCTCGGCTTCAGGAGGACGAAGCTGGGCAAAGGGAAAGACAACAAATTGTACCTTCGTGTGCACAGATGAGTCTCAGGCAGCAACCCGCATGCATTACTGCGGACTGGCCCATCTGTGCAAGATGTTGGCTCGGAAGGAGGGAAGGAAGAGACAGGCTCAGCTCCCAAGATGTCACCAGGGAGCTGAACATCCCAGCTGGCTTTGGTGCTGGATCCACACAGCACTGGTAGAAAGACTCGAGCGTTACCATCTCCAGGACGCCGGCATCTCTTCAGGGAATTACTTTACAAACACTGGAGAGGGACAGGCAAGGGCACCAGGGGATGTCCAGGGAGCCAGGCCGACAGGGGTAGTTCGGGCAACACCTTTCCTTCCCTTGAGTCAGGTGGAATAGCAGAAAACTCCAGCTACTCATAGGAACCCAGCACGGGCATCAGCAATCATGCAGCTCCAAACATGCCACTGGGTCAGAAAACCTTACAACAGCCTTGCATTTCATCCATTTTCTATTCGTCAGAACATAGTTCAGCTGCTGGGATGAGCAGTGATTCACTTACAAATGATTTCAAGGATCAGGCCAAGACTCAAGGGTAGGGGACAGGGAAGGACAGAAGCCTACCTGCTTTCCTTGGCCTGTGAGCCTTTTACTCTGGACTACCTTACACTTGAAAAAGGAAGACAACAGCAACAATCACACCTGGCTTATTCTGGGACCCCATCAAAAAGATCATCAAGGCTGCAAATGTTTCAAGGAGAAACCAAGGTATTGGTATATCTCACCTCACTTTCTCTCTTCGGTTTCTACCAGCCAATAAATTTGCTCTCTGCAAAAGATGGGCTGTTTCCTAAGCCTGGAGCTAAACCAGAAGTGTAAAATGCTAACTTCCTTTGCAAATCCTCCTTGAGAAGAGTGGATGCTAGGGAAGCAGTGAGACAGAGGGATGTGGTAAATGACTTAAACTCTCCTGGTAGCTGTCCCCAGGAATGCATTTCAGTGTCAGTTTTGAAGGGTAGGGCAGAGATAAAGTATTTTTGTCATCATGACAGAGTAATGCTCCACTGACTGAAACAGAAGCCACAGTTCGGGAGGTCCCTGGAGAACTCCTCAGGCTCCGTTGCCCTTTGGCTAAGTGTAGAGAGAAACAGTGAAGGTTCTGGAGTGGCTCATCCATGAGGGAGAGGGGAGCTGCCATGCATCATTGACCTGACGGGTTGCTCCTGTTATGCTAGGCTGTGCCAGCACTATTGATGCAGAGAGTATCTCTGGTGAGCCACTGTTAAAGGGCGGACTTCTTCTAGACATGAAATGCAAGGTCGACAGTGTCTGATATGCTGATGATCACATATGAGACCTGTGATGGCTACACAGCTAGAAATACAGTTAGCGATGGCTAGTTCCATGCAAGTGAAGCTTCAGTTGTTTAAGGGTTACACACATATCGAGTGCTTGTTCTCTCCAAGCTAAAATATGAATAAAGAAAAAGTAACAGAAAATGTGATGGGAATAATTAAGGGGGGGATTATTAATTTCATCATCATCAATAACTTGTCAGTCTCACCTGCATAGGGCACACTGACCAGGAAGAATGCTAGGGGGTCCTGTCTGAACATTAGCTTTCTGCCAAGCAAGTGTCCAGAAGACCTCTCTGGGACTCTGAGTTCAGTTTAAGCCTCCCAGTGTCTCAGCACTTCTTCAGCTTGAACTAATTTCCCTCCCACTAGGTTCATGGACTCAAAAAACCATAAGGCCACGGAATCTGTTCTGCCACTGGATTCCATAGCTCTCACACACTGCAGCCAGGTGGCTGCTGATTGAAAACTTTCAGCAACAGAAAATTTACTGTCTTTTAAGGTCACTGTAATCTTCTGTGGACCCTAGATTCTAGAAAGCTTTTATCCAAATCACAAATATGTCTGCTTCCTGAAAAGTCAACTCACTATTTTTGGTGTTGCTGTTTGAAGCGGACGGGATGGATCTGGTTTCTCTCTTTGTCCTGAGACTGTGAGCCATGAAGATAATTACCAGCCAACTCTTGAGTCCTCTCTAAAGAAGCTTCTAGTTTTGCCATACACACATGCACACGGACAGTAAACCTTGAGTAATTGTACACCGGCGTGGGTTTTCCACTTAGCCCTGTATATGACACTCCTTTTTCAAATCTATACTTTCGTTGAGGACCTTATAGACAGGATATACTAAACATCTCCCTGGATAACTGTGCATGCTCACCAGTCAAAATCCGCCTCTGTGCAGACACAGGGTTCCGATTCCATGGCTCCTGCGTATTTCCCCTGCATACACTTCCGCTCTGATTTCCGCTTCTTGTATGTCCTTTTGGCTCCCATGATGCATGCCTCTCCCTGTAAGGACACACCATTGCACAAAATTGGGCACTGAGCTTGGAATTTCCCTGCTCCAATCAGGGCAGTTCAGGGAGATATTCACAGACCCCACTGTAATTTGGACTCTGGTAGCTCACTGTGCAATAATGGCATTTTTTATGTTTATTATAAAATGTTACAATAAAGACAATCCCAAGAAGCACTAAGGATTTGTCTAATAGCCTCCTTATCTCCCTAGGTATTTAACAAACTTATATTTGGCAAAGTGTGAGGCTCAGTGATATGAAGGACACAGAGATAAGTAAGATAGCCTTACAGCAAGTACATGGCCGGCAAAGTTAAATTCTTCTACAACAAAAGAATTATTTCCTTGTCATTTACAAGCATATGAAGAAAGTGTATTGGTAAGAAGCATAAAGATCCATTTTGTCCTGATTTATTATGCTCTGCCCACACAACTCATAGCACCAAATTCATGTGCATTCATCTACCAGACAAGCAAGAGCACTAACATCAGTGTTTTTCCTTGAAATAAATAAAGCTTTGGTTATCACAATGCTTATGCACCCAAAGGAGAAACAGCAACAATGTAAATGAGTGATCATTTTACTGTTGAGCCTTGGAGTGGAGTGCAGGTTTCTAGCTACTGCAGCACCTGCCATCGAACACGAGTTCCTTTTGTGTTTCTGAAAGATCACAGCAAAATTGTGTTTCATGCAAGATCACTATGCACTGTCTTTCTTTGAGAAACTCATTTTACCTGGCTCTATTAAAGATCTACGTGTAATCAGTTTAGTCTGTATTTGGGTACATGATGCTTCACTGCCTGAATCTGGTGATGGCTCTGCAGTAAGAACTTCTACCATATCCTTCGGGAGACCTGAATAATGACTTCTGCCTTGGGAAATCAAAATGAGATGCTTTCAGCATTTTGCTATGAGCTGAATATCTGAGAGGCCCATAGGAACATTTCCTGTTAATAATTCTGGATTCTTGTACCCTGAGTACCTTGGACGAGGCAAGTAGCACTGTATACTCCCCGAGAATCAAGGAAATGGGGAGGCAGGGCTTTTCTCGCAGTCCCCAGTCAGCAACACTGTGTTATTTTTTGCTTCACTTCTGTTTGCTTTGATAGATAAAACTGAAGATCTTGTCCTTCCCCTGCCCCGCCATGCAATCCTATAACATGCACGAGAAAATGATGTTTGGATCTCAGTGCCAAGCATTTCATTTTGAGTTGTAAGTCTCAGTCAAGGACATTTGAATTTTCTCTCATTATATCCTAGCATCATAAAACAGAAATCCAATGGCAATGTGGAAATGGTGAGTTTGTTCACTGCAGGGGAATACAACATAGGTAAGAGAGGATGAAATGGGCATTTCTGGCCTGCAGAACCCCTCTTTCTGAACCCTGCAGAATAGCTTTCCTTTAACAACCCCGCTACCTCACAGCCGGGACTCAGTCTCAGCTGGCCTCTCCCTACCTGGCTGTGTAACTTCCACGGTCTGTAGTCCTCCTGGGCACACCGTCTGTCGAAAATGGACTTGTAGTCGACTTTGACCAGCTGCCACTCAGAGCGGTGGCTGAAGTGCCCAAACACTCTGCAGGGTTCATCATGTGAAATAATCACAACAAAGATAAGTCACAACGGCCTTAACAACAGTTTATGTTTGCTGAGAGTTTAGGAGCACAGTGTGAGGCCGAGCACGTCACGGGGGGAACTGCACCTTTCAAACCTTGAAACACTTTGACGAGGAGGATGCTATCAGCACCTCTATTTCACAAATGGATAAAGGGAGGCATAGACTGTTTCATCCATGCAGAAACACCAAAGTCAAGGCACTATCAACTGGCATTTGGGTCGAGTCTACTTGTGTATATTGTATTAAAAGAATGCTTGAAAAAAGGAGAAAACAATACAGGTACTGCATTCTAGCTGGTCCAAGATTATATTTCTCACTTCTTTTGCTAATGTAACTGCTCCGTGGTCTCTGTGACCTTTCCCTTCCCCACGTGCCTCTGGGGTAGCAGACAGCAAGCCAGGCGGTGCTCATGGCTCCACACTGCAAATCTACTCTCTTCCCTCAAGATCGGGTATTCATGTGGGCCCTGAATCACCAGCCAAAGGAGTGGGGAAGCCATGAAGGAGACTTTCAGATCAGCATTTTTGTCTGCATTTTCCAAATATAAAAATTGAAGGAAGGTGAATTATGAAATAAACTGCAAAAGCATAGGTATTGGACAAATTAAATTTTTCTGGTTGTTGATTTCTATCATTGAGAAAAGGGGAGAAAGGTGTTAGAAACTGTGCCAATTATTCACTTTGGTTTTGAAATTTTCATTGGTAACTGTATCCAGTACTTTGAAACCTTCTTTTCCTTTTAGCTGTGACCAATTTTCTAGGGGAAGAAAATATCGCAGTTTCATATTTCAAATTCAAAGCCTATGGTTTGGAGGCCACAGGCAGCTGAATCATTAATCAAGTCTTTCACAAATTAATGGTCATCACTTTCCAGACAAGAATGAGTGGAAAATGCCATTTCCCAAGAATAGACTGTTCTCATGATTTTTCTAATATTCCTCACAATTGGGTTATATAAAGAGCCAGAAAAAATAAAATCCTTTGTGGAGTTTTGATCAAATGCTGAGTTCTCATTGAAAGAGAAATCATTCGAATATACCTGAGATTTTCATCATATCCAGCTAGCTTATTATTACACTTTTAAATGCATAGCTGTAATTCTATTGAAACATTTCCTTCTAATTTCTCTAGATTCACTGAATATAGAAAGGAAAGAGCTTTGCCTTCTGGTATCTCCCCTCCCAATCTCGGTCTCCAGAGCCATAAATGGTTTCCAACATGTTTTTCCTCTTTGCTGGTGACTTGCACAGCAGAAGGACTGACTCTGCAAACAACTCCAAACCTAATAGCAAGGAAGCCAACAAGCTCATCTACGAAATGTCTTTGTGGGTTTACTTGCTTGTCTGAAGCCCGGGATCCAGCATGGCTTCCACTTACGTCATGATCAGAGTCTCTTCTCCGGGCTCCCCCAGGACCCCGTCCACAAAGAGCGGAATGGAAGTGAAACTGTATTTGCTCCAGGAATTCCCTTCATCGAAACTCAACCTAAAGACAGAGCAAAACAGTCAATGGATCGCTCAAGAATATTAAAAAGCCTTTTCTAAGAAAACATACGGACAACCAGGGGGCAATAGATATTAAAGTGACTTGCGGCATTCTGGGCTGCGAGTCTGAACCCAGACTAGGCAACTCAGCCACTTACAAAGACCTTGTCTTTAAATAAATAAATACACAGGGCTGGTGATGTAGCTTAGTGTGGTCGAATCCCCACACACTTTTTTAAAAAGTACCTAGGTCATTGTCAAAGTGAGTCTCTCCTGTGAATAAGTTCTTAATCCTATCAAAAGGTAGACAGAGAGTTAGCCATGATGTTGGGTCCCAAATGTGTTGAGACATCAATAATGGGAGGGCTGTCTGCAGTGAGAATAGTAATAAGTCTCTGAGAGATGGTTTTTTTTTTTTTTTTGGTACCAGGGATCGAACTCGGGTCCTTGCGCTTGCACAGCAGGCGGTGACTGAGAGATGTTTTAACATGAGCATTTTACAAGTTCGTAGACATCACAGTGACCGTGACCCGCTCCAAACCCTCACTGCTATCTTCCAGCAAGCTTCTACCATGGTCTTGGAAAGGGATGATCTTGCAATAGCAACAGATAATGAACCTGTCACCAAGCGCCAGCTCCTAAGTGCATCCCTTTCCCATTAATATACATTATAGCAGACCTCACTGAGTGAATGGGGGAGAACAGAAGGGGTCCTGGAGAGCCACACGTAGAGAATTCTGAGATGTGGGTGGTCACAGCTGTGGTCTAAATGCTTGTGTTCTCAAAACTCATTCACTGAGAGTCTAATCACCAGCATGATGGTATCAGGAGGTGGATTCCCTGGGAGATGATGACTTCCTAGAGTAGTGCTACCAGGAGTGGGAGGAGTGACTTAGAAAAGTGGCCTTGAAGAACCATCTGTGCCTTCTACCACATGGAAACCCAGGCAGCAGGCATCTACGTCAGTCAGGATCCTCACCTGACACTGTCTCTGCCAGAGCCCTGACCTCGGATTTTCTGCCTCCAGAACTGTGCAAAATAAATTTATGTTGTTTGTGAGGTGCCCAGGTTAGGGCATTTCCTTAACGCAGCTAGAACAGACTACAGTAGTCACAAATGAGCTTTTCCTTTGCTCTTTCTCTACAGATGCATTTCCCCAAGCTGAGATTCTGTTTCTCATCTGCAGCTCTGCTCTCGGTTATCAAAGATTGAGAGTGGAGGAAAAACCAGGCTTTTGACTTTGACCCAGCTCACACGTGGAGAGAGCAACCTTCAAAGTCAGAGGAAGAAGCCCACTGGAAACCCCTGTGGGAGGTTGGCCTTGCACACCCAGCAGTGGAAGACTCGGGCAGCACTGCAGAATGCCAGCTCAGAAAAAGGAAGTGAGGAAGGCCATGCAGGAGAAGTGAGACAGGAGCAGAGCTGTGAGGAACTGCACATCTCAGCATGGAATGCATGTAATGAGGCGAGTAGCGAAGTTCAGGCTATGTTGTTTGGGACAGGTGACTACCGCACAAAGACTATTCAAAGACCACGAGGGATAGTGAACCCCGCGCTACCCGTGACTATGCTGAGAACGAGGTGGGTGTGGGGGGGTTACTGTCACTGTAATGCAATTCCTTTTCTGGGGGTAGAAACTCCCCTCCTTGTTGTTATTTCTGCCCAACCTTCTACAAATCTGCAGGTGACAATCTTATTTCAACAGCGCAAAGGTATAAATCATGTCCTCATAGTACTGGCAGTTACTGCCCACCCGGTCACAGTCTGATAGCGGGACTCCCACAGCCTCCTCAGCAATGCAGCAGAGCAGGAGGAAGGCGCCCTTACCAAAGATGTCGAATCGGGAGAGACGTGTGTTTCATAGCAACCAGGACTCCGCCTTGATCAAGGTACAAGACACTGTGCTCTTCTTCAAAGATCTGGACAAAGGAAACCAGCACAACATGGGCATATATGCACACCCCCAAGTCAAGGGTACAGACAGTTTTTGTATGAGGACAAAAATCCCTTCCACGACAGAAGCCAATTTCCCTAAAACTTTGGGAAAAGATAGTTATATCGCAATGTTTCCCAATGTGAGATACATGCACCACTGGTATTACATAAAACAATTTTAGGTATGGACAACATTCCTTTAAAATGAATAGTATGGGTTCATGTTTATATCCTTTTTATTTTCATAGTGATATCTAGTGAGTCGTGTTTCAGTAACGTCCGAACACTGGGTATCATATATCATACATCTCTAGATGGAAAAAATCTTAGAGATATTTTAGTCCTACATTTTCATTTTACCAGACGAGAAAACTAAGTTTTAGAAAAATGTGGGTGGTAGCTTGCTGTGGCATGCAAATAATAGTCAGCGGAGCTGGAACTTGCTGCATTCCAGTGCCCTTCCCCAGTCTAATCATTTCCAAATATCCAAGGGTTATCAAAATTGTATTCTTGTTTAATTCACAGATGTGTCATAAGTAGTTCTGATCAAAATGATATTGTCGTTTTGGATACATGGATCACTGGATCACCCTTGAAATGGAGAGAAACCAATCTGAAGTCAAATGGAAACCCACTGGAATGTCTAAATCCTCTCTGGGTAGGAGGTACATTGTTTTCCCAGTCACAGTGCTAGTGCAGCCTTGTCTGAAGTTACACTACAGAAATAAGCTTTCTTTCCTTTGTTTACTTCTTATAGGAAAGATGCACCTCCGAACTACAAAAGTAGGGATTTCTAAGCATTTGAAGAAAATGGAATCCTGCCTTTCTGTTCTCCAGAAGAAGCCACCCTAGAACAGTGCATCTTCCGCCTTATTTCCAAGATCAGAAACTCAGCGCTTTCTTAAGAAAATTTCTCCTCTGCCTTGCTTTTCTCAAAATATAAGACTCCTGCTGAGATTCCACACAGGGTTTGAAGATGAGAAATGGGAACTGGACCATCACGTGGATGTTTCTCTCTAACATTTAAAGCACTGTGCTTTCATTGCTAAGTGTGATTACCTGTGCATTAGATTTCAATTTACGGTGCTAGTTATTATATGATCATTAAATGCCAGTGGGTTATTAAAACATATTTATTGAAGTGTAACAACCATGCATTAGGCTCATATCTTGTTATGATTGCTAAACCTCATTAAAGGCCTGTTTTATAAGCCATGGGTATCTAATTTTCATTCAGAAGCAAGACAAGAGGCATTTAGGCTAAACACATTAGTTTAAAGTGATTCCATTTCTACTTTATCTAGCATATGCAACCTGATGGTTATTACTCTGCCTTTTGCACATGAGATTTAAGCATCTCAGAATACCACCTGGGTAATGGCCATTTCCATGTCATTGCATTCCTCTGTGCTCTGACTTCAAAACACGGGGGAGAGAGGGAGGCAGCTCAGCATTAGGATGCAGTCTACCATGCAGGCTTCATGCCCCCTCTCTGAGTAACCTGTAGGGATTCCGGCTTTCTTTTATGGGAAAATTCCATCAAACTTAGTTTGGTTTCACTGTCTCCTATAAATGATCTTACACACAGGTTCTCGGCAAGAGATATCATGATTAAATGATCAAAAAAACCAAACATTTGTTAAACTCAAAGATTTAAGACTTTCATAAGAAATAAACAGATTAACAGGCTTTAAAATTTATCCGTAACACTGAACTTGAACTAAACTGGACCGCTTTTATGCTGTTTAAACTTTACCAACAAAACCCAGGGCATTTTCCTACCTGCCTCCAAGTGTTCCCTGCATCTGAAGAGACAAACATGCTGATGTCGTTGTCGGACAATTCCGAACCTGTATTACCTAGAAAGAGCACATCACCATTAGTGGACAAAACTTTCTGCACAAGCTAACAACAGACAAAACCAGCAGCCGACACTGCCTGAGAAGGATTTCAACAGCGAACACCCTGTCCACATAAGGGTTTTTCACCATACCTGCTTCAGGTTCAGTGGTGTGGATGCCTTTCAAAAATATTTTCAGCTTGCTCATTAAATTCCATGTGTTGATACTTAGCTTCTTAAAATGAACACCATTTACAGCAGCAAGCAAAGCAGGCAAGCTCCTTACCTGAAGCAACTATGATGCTTGGAGCTGTATCTCTGCTGGCAATGATCCCAGATGTGTAGGGATTCTCAGAGACCTTCAGGTGAAGGTGCAGTGAGCAATAGGGCTAAGAGGAGGAGACGTCAATGGTCAATATCATAAAGCACATCATTTACCAGGTCATTGAAAGCCTGGGTTCAGAGCATGCACCCACCCGTCCATGCACCCTGTTCCATTTATCATTCCAACCATGAAAATCTCTAGCCACCCATTGCATCCATTCATCCAACAATCCGTTAACTTTCATTTGACAATATCTAGTTTCTGCTAGGTGTAAGCCACCTGCCAAGTTGGTTAGAAGGGAGCACCTTCATTTTAGGTCTAACTCTCTGGCTTAAATTGCATTTCCTAACTTACCAAACACTTAGGTACTTTATCTGTAAGACACTAGGAAGAGCTATGAAGGGTAAAATTTGGTCTCTGTCTTTACAGAGTTTCCAGTTAACATAGAGGACATGACATCTTTCCATCAATTACCACAAAACAGTAAACTGTGATAGCCACAAGAAAGGTAGACGAAATATTAGGAGATTCTGGAAAGTGCAGAGATGAGGTCCAACTTTCAGAGATGGCTCCCAGGAAAAAACAAAGGCAAAGATGGGTTGGCTAGGACTGCAGGTAAGATGCTCAATGGGAGAAAGGACATTTCAGACCTGGGCAATAGCAACAACAAAAGAAAAGAAGCAAAAGACTGGAGCAGTGCAGTGTGTAGCCATGTAAGACTGAAGAGGGAGAATAAGACATGAAGACTGTGGAGTGTACTCTGAAGAAGTCACTAGGCATCATTTAGTCTCACTGCACTTGAGATCTTGGTCTAGTTGTAGACAAAGCTGTATGGGGTGAGAAACTCTCCTGATATGTTCCAAAAAGTTGATGCAGTGTTTCTACCAGGATATTATCAGAATCAGTTGTATTCAATATAAAAGTTATACATGCACACAAAATGTAATAGCAATAAAAAGTTAAATGAAACTTGAAGGAATTTGTTTACCTGTGCCAGAAAGCTTGATCAAATTCTCTGATTAAGATGTCAATAGTTTTCAAAAAAAAGATAAAACATCTTATATGAATCTATTTTAAAACAGACCTTTTACTAACTTGTCAAAAATACAAGCCTGTGTTGGAACCTGCATTTCTTTCTGGGAAGATTACTTTCTAATCGTACCAATTTGAGCTTTTGGAATCACCCCTGTATCTTTGTTATTACTTTTATTCCACTCTGTAAGTCTCAGCCAGCAGATACTCAGAGAGCTACACAGACTCAGTGATTACATTTATATCTGATAGAGTAAATGACAAACTAAAAATGAAACTCGGGTCTAAAAACAGACAGAACACCAGTAAAAATTAAAACAGTAGGTCACAAGAGGGCCTTTTCTTCACTGCCAGCACAAAAATTAAAACTCTCAGAGAGCAATAAATTATTAGTTTTACATGAAAATTTTATGTAAAGCATTGAAAATTCATTTCACTCTACAATGTTCTCTAAACATAAGGAAGACAGCCACTCTACAAAGAAACACCAAACCCAAACACTTGGGTTCCTTTTGTCCTAGAGGAAGGGTAGCCTGGATACTATTAGATGTTGCAGGGATCCTGGGGTACTGTCACTCACAGGAGGTACTATTAGCACCCAGGGGAAGCTAAGTCAGGTTACAGTAGAGGAGTCAAAACAATTCTCCCTGCAATCTTTGCTGACAGCTGCAACTGATGAGGGTGTTTCCTTCTCTGACCGGCCACTGGGTATTTTACTGTGTACAATCTTGTATTGTCTTTTCTGGTACCTTATAATTTTATCTGCCTAAGGGACACAGTCAACAAATGAAGAGATAATATCAAGTAAAACTTGGCATATTCTGTGGTATCTTGCATGGGATGTAGAAAAGAAAATCAAGAAAAGTTTGCAATATTAAGATAAGCTTTTTGTTAGGGCATGAAAGACATTACCATTCTACTCAGAACAATACCAAGAACACTAGGAGTTGATTAAAAATTATACAGTCTGAGGATCCTTGTGCTCATCTCCATGGTATTCCAAGAAGCGCAGCTTGGAGATTATCCCTAGACAAAGGCTCAACACAGGGCGTTTTGTACCATCTAAAAGAGCAGGACATTCTTGGAATCTTGGGCCTGCTGCTCGCTGCAACGGGAAGACTGAAAGCTCAGGTGACAATTAAAAGGCTGTGTTCTAGGGTATGGAAAACTTGTTATCACAAAGGAGGCAGGGCATTTCCACTGACTGTCTCAGCACTGCTCTGTTGCTATGGCTTCTAGATACACTAAGTGGAGAAGAAGTCACCAGTGCATGCAGTAGTAGCCATATTAGAAGTGATGGTTTTGGTGCAGTTTTTCTCCATGCTCACATTTGTAGTACTGGATTGCCCCCAGCTGGTACATGGAGAATATTCTGTGGCTTTATGTTATTTTCACTTTCATCTTTGTCAAAAGAATTTGCAAAGTCTGCCCAAATGTTTGAATAAAAACAATGCTAACCGACTAATCCTACCCTTTGAACTTAAAGTTCTATACCCTCTTTAGATATTTCTCAGAGTGAAATCACCAAAAACTAACAGACTTATTGTACTGACTGTCAAGCTGAACTAAGTTCCCAGAGGACACAAGTCAAAGCTCTTGGATTCTTATGCACATTTTGCCTGGCCAGGGTTACTCTGTAGACCTTTCTTTCATCCTTCTTTCTTGCTTTCTTTTCTCTTATTAGCAAACAAGTACTGAGCACCTGCCACAACCTAATAGACACAGGTATTGCTTTTGTATTTCCAGGGCTGTCTCCAATATGATAGCGTCAAAACAGCACCTGTTCCAAGGGCAGTTCTCTATTTCACTTTAATTTCCACATTAAAAAGATACTGCAGTATACACAGATACTGCCATGGCCTAGCTGCTGATGCAGAGAGGATGGAAGGACCAGCATTTGTATCTGGAAGCTTCCTTGGTGGACTTACACACAGTCACAGGCCATGGTCTGTCCTCAATTATTAGACCCTTAGTCTTTTAATCTTATCAGCATCAGCTATAAGGTTTGCCAATCTGAAGCAAATTAAGGACTCTGAAAAGTGCCCAGTTTTCCTTCAATATCAGGAAGTCCTCAAAACCCTGAAGCATATCTGTAGACCTCTGGGTCCTAATTTTCTTTCCTTTGCCTTCTTTTTTCTTTTAGTTTTGCCCACAAAATCCTTTCGCCACTCCAAGTGTTCCATGAATGTGTGCTGTGTTTTACTGATGCATTCATTTTCTCCGCTAAAGATGCTTATCATTTATTCCACCTGTCCAACGGAAGCCTTTGGCCCCATGTCCTCATCACCCCAAACCCTCAGCTTCTGGGCACCCCCACCCCAGGGCTCTCTGCTTCTCTGAGTTTGACTGAGCAGCCACACACCAGTGAGAACATGTGGCTTTGTCTTTCTCAGCCTGCACCATTTCACTTAGCATGATGCTATCAGGTGACCCATGACTACTCTACTGTCTTCAGGCACTGTGGGGGCCACTGGAAAGTAATTCAATGATAGAGGACATTTCCCCATCGTGAAATAAATAAGCTTCAGAAACAGTCAGAGATTTCAAGTACTGTACTGCTTCTTTCTCTCCAACCTACGTGTCAACAGCCTTGGGATGCTATCTGCCTGGCACTTTCACTCCGGGGCTATTGATCTAAATGCTGCACTACAAAGACAGATCAAAACTCTCCTAAACAGCAAAGCAGCAGCAGGTAAGGCCCCAAATATCATTCCCACATCCTCCTTCCCCGGAATACCTACACTTCGGTGCAGTCTCTGACTCTGAAGTAGAGCTAGGAATTCATTAGTGTTCAGTAGCGTCACCGGCAAAGAACAGGGAGGCCCTCAGAGCAGCTGGCTGGGTGAGGGTTCTGGCTCCACTGCAGCCTGGCCCAGCACCTAGAGTTACAGACCGTGCAGGGCAGGCAGAGAACAGTCACGGATCCCCCAGGGCAGCTGCCTGCTCAGCTCCAGTGGAAAAAGAAGCCAAATGGATCTATAAAGAAGGCATGAGGCACTGTGCCTTTCCCAGGGGCCCATGGATTTGTCATGGCCCTAGCCCAGTCACAGCTTCCCTCTTTGGAGCCAGATGTGCAGGCTTTGGAGGCAGGGAGACCATGACCTGCAACATCCTACCCAATTGTACAATGCAAGCCTTCAGAGGAAAGAAATCCCATCTGAGCCCTTCAGGTAATCAGGCTGAAAGACCTAAAAATACTGCTCCAAATTACTCTGGATGTCTTATTTCTATAGAATCCATTTTACCAGGAACATTCCATTTGGGGTTGTAATTCTGCACTTGTTCCACATTTGTAGCAGCCCTGCTGGAAAATCTCTCTTCTAATCACTAGACTCTGCTTTCAGTGACACTGTCCCCTTCCAAGTACTCACAATCTAAAATCACTTTTTATCTTCTCTCTGCCACCAGCTCCCAAGCCTGGAGGTGTTTTTTTTGTTTTTAACAGTCTGGGTCTCCAGTAGCTCAAAGATTTTCTTTCCTATTTTGTGCCTTTGGCAGATTTTGTAAAGTGATTTTAGTTTGTCATTCCCACCTGCTTTGTCACTTCCACTCCTCACCCTGTTATCTGCTGTGAAAGTTTGAATGAAAAACTGCCTTAAACTCTAGGGTTAATGAGATAGGAAGAACCAAAGACTCCTGGGTCCATACACATCTCCATTGCATTAGTTCATCTCTTCTTCACCTTAGTGAGCTTCTTGATTTTATTAATGTTGGAGTCCACTTGAGTTCCTGAGCTTCAGCAGGTAGACATTATGACAAACGCTTCAGTGTAACTATCAGAGGGAATGCAGCTTTCATTGGAGTCCAAATGTGAAACTCAAGTAGCACCTTTGAACTAAGTGCCTACTCTGAATACAATTTCCCTAACACAACACATACATCCAGCATCTCCCAAGTGGCAGGTATGACTTAGAGCTCATCTTTGGAATGGCCACAGAGACAGTCAAGGTCTCCACATTCATGGAACTCATATTTGACAGGGAAAGATGGACGAGAAATCCAGGAATACACAGGCTGATTTCAGATGGAGATAAAGGTCATGGAGAGAAAAGGGTTGGAAGAATGTAACTTTATTGAATGCTCATGAAATCTGTTTGATAAGTCCAGATATGAAGGCCAAGGAAAATCCTGGCCAGTTAAAGGGCATTATTAAGAGAAATAATGGACCATTCAAGTAAAACAAGATATAAATAAACATGGTGGACAAAGAAAGAGCTTCTATCCTCTTAAGTATAAGGAAGTACATTTAAGTGTAGCTTAAGTGAGATGAAGGGAGGAGGGAGGTGCTGGAGACAAGCGGAAGTAGACTGAGGAAAGATTGTACGGAGATCATGATAATGTATTTGATTTTTTTCATCCAGAGCTAGAAAACCATTAGAAAGCTGAAGTAAAGGAGAGATACGATCTTAAAAGTTCATATTAATACTATTTCTAAAATCTGAGAAGACAGAAATCTATTATGCAATAAGGGAGGCCAAGTACGCAAGTATGCCTGGTTATCTAGGTGGGGAGAGAGGGCTCTGAGTGCAGAGGGCATGAAGGAATGTTTCAGAGTGACCAGAATGGTCTACCCTGACTGCGGTCATGGCTACATGGGTGCCTACATGTGTCAGCATTCACTGAACTATACTCTTAAGTGATGTTTCATAGGTACACATGTTTTATCACATGAGAGTTGATTTATTAACAAAGAGGTCACACAGACTAATGTTTGGAAAGTAGGTAGCCAGGAGCTTCTCACTGTGGGTCACCTAAGAAATGACTGTGGCTTGATCAGGATTGTCCCCGTGGAGACAGAGAAGGAAGCTGATGCTGCCTTTGTGTTTTGGAGGCACAGAAATCTGACTCACAACATTGGGTTCAGGGTGGAAAAGGGAACCTTTTGCTAAGTATTTTGTTTAGAAGTCACTTTTAATGATCCATTCATAGTGCCAAAGATCCCAGGCAAGACTGTTTAGATGACATGTTAATTCCCTCACATTACAACTTTCATCCAAAGTGCATGGGAGTGGGAAATGGCACGTCCCATGCACCTCTCCCTAAATATCACCGTACTTCACCTTGGAATGGCTTTGCTAGGAAAATAGCCTTGTTCTTTAGAAATGCCACCGATGTATATAGCATAGGTAACAATAACAGCTGTTACATTTACCTAATCTGTCACAGGCTTTGTGTACTCCCTCTAACTGGCTGCTTTTCTCTCTGTAAGTTGGCAGTAATAAGGATTACTGGGAGGCTGAATTTCAACCTTGCTCCCCTAATCCACCGTGGCAACTGTGATATCCTCTACAACTAATAAGGTCAAGCTGTAGCTTCTGGCTTCTTTTCCAGTAGGAGAGTGACACACCACAAGTTGTGCGAGAGGAACCTGCAAAGTGACTATCCAGACTTAGTGGTCTGGAAGGAAGCAAGCAGAGTAGGGGTGACAACAAAGCCAGAGTTGAGTGAACAATGGATGGATGGATAGACAGACGGACAGACAGATAGGCAGACAGATAGATAGATGGGTAGACTATGCACACACACTCACCAAGCACTTCTTACTAAAACGGAAAGGACTTCTCTCTATGCTTACATATTGGTCTCTCACGTTTCTTGACTGAAATGCAACTTAACTCTTTTATAGAAATTAGTAGTATTAATTGAACAGTACTTTCTTTTGCAATCACTCTCTTTCTCCCTCTTCCCTCCTGCATTCCCTCAGTATCTGCTGCTGCACCAAGTATGGGATCGAGAGCTGCTAAGAGGGGTAGTACTTGGCTTTACAATCTTTCACTTCTTAATTTAGCCTCATGCAAAGAGCTAAGTCCACTAAAAAGCCCTGGAAGCAAGAAACATCTTTTCGGCACCATCATAGCAGCCAATACATCAGTAAATTAATGCTGATAATACTTACTTCCCGGTGTAACATAACTAAAAGAAGTCCACACTTTAAAGTAGGGATCAGCACATCTTTTTTTTTTTTTTAAGGGTCCCAGAATAAACATTTTATGCTTTGTTGACCCTGCACTCTCTGTCATGGCTCTGTGGCTCTCCATTATAGAGGGGAAGCAGGCATAAAGAATACATGAATATGTAAACAGCCTGTGTTCTAGTGAGACCTTATTTAGAAAAACAAGTGCTGGGTCATCATTTTCCCCCAGGCCATCTTTTCTGCCGACGCCAGCTTTATAGACTAACACAAATGGATGGAATGTATTATAAAGAAAACAAATATAAGTTTAAATCAGTGGTTCTTAACCCTTTTTGAGTCATAAAATTATCTCAAAAGGTGATGAAACATTACCACAGGAATTACACCGACACGTTTTTTTGATCAGGTGGACAAGTGTATAGTAAATGTGTGGATCCTTTGGTCTCTAACAGGTGATTTCCATGAGAAATGATGAGTGTTGAGGGACAATGTCACACCACAATTGGAGAATCCCATGGGAACCTGGAGGTATAGCTCAGCAGTGGGGTATGTGCTTAGCACGCCCAAAGCCCTGGGCTTGATCTCCAACAGCAAAACAAAGCAAAGCAAAGCAAAACAATTCAGGCTGGAAGCATGGATCCCAGAAGTGAGCAACAGTCTTACCCATGTTCTTTTATTTCACTGACCACTGCAAAGGGAAGCCCTATGACCCTTCTTCCTCCATGCCCTTCCCTGCCCATTTCGCTCACAGGCTGAACAAAACTGCCAGACCCATCTGCTTCCTCCTGTTGAGTGCCATCTCCAGCCTGCACCATGTGGCTGCGGCTCCACCATGAACACTCACCAGCAGACAGTGCACGGCGACTCCCCTGAGGTCTGTGTCCGGTGCCTGCAGCAAGCGCCAGTCGCGGCCTTTGTTGTATGTGATGAAAGTCTTCACTTGCTGGTCAATCTTCTTGTTAGCCAAGAACATTCCCTTTATCCCTGCTACCTGGGAAAAATTGACATGGTTGAAAAATATACCCATTTGAGATGGAATATATTTATTTTCCTTTAAAAGGGGGGGGGCTGTCTGATAAAAACAGCATGGTACTGGCAAAGGGACAGACCTGAGGACCAGTGGAACAGATTAGAAGATGCAGAAACAACTCCAGACATACTAAGCTACCTCATTTTTGAGAGAGGAGCCAAACACCCTCACTGGAGGAAAGATAGCCTCTTTAATAAATGGTGCTGGAAAAATTGGGTCTCCACTTGCCAAAGACTAAAATTAGACCCATATTTTTCTTTTTTTCTTTTTGGTACCAGGGAACAAACATGGGACCTTGCGCTTGCAAAGCAGGCGGCAGCACCATTGAGCTAAATCCTCGGCCTAGACCTATATCTTTCATCATGCACTAAACTAAAATCAAAATGGATCAAAGATCTAAATATTAAAACAGAAATGCTAAACCTGCTGGAACAGAGGTTAGGTAGAACTCTTGAAGACATTGGCATACGAGAGGACTTTATGAACAAATCCTCAGTAGCATGTGAACTAGCACAAACAATCAACAACTGGGATCTCATCTTATTTAAAAGCTTCTGCACTGCAAGAGAAACCACCAACACCATGAAGAGACGACCCACAGTGTGGGAAAAAATTTTCACCGCTGTCCCTCAGACAAAGGTCTGCTATCTAGAATATATAAAGAACTTTAAAAAATCAGACACCCCAAATTTAAATATCAAATCCAAAAATGGGCATCTGAAATGAATAGACATTTCTCAGACAAAGAAGTAGAAATAGCAAATAAACATATGAAAAAATGTTCAACATCACTGGTCATTAAAGAGATACAAATGAAAACAATGCTGAGATTCCACCTCACCCCAGAAAGAATGGCTGCTATCAAGAAATTAGCCAATAACAAATGCTGGCAGGGCTGTGGGAAAAAAGGAACCCTTCTCCACTATTGGAGGGAGTGCAGACTGGTCCAACCACTGTGGAAATCAGTGTGGAGATTCTTCAAAGAACTAGGATGAGAGTCCCCATTTGACCCAGCTATTTCCTTGCTGCATATCTTCCCTTAAGAATTAAAAGCATCATACCACAGTGATACATGCTCACCTATGTTTACAGTGGCACAGTTTGTAATAGCTAAATCTTGGAAACAGCCCAATTGCCCATCAACTGGAGACTGGATAAACAAGATGTGCTTTTTTAAAAAAATAAAGTGGAGTATATTCAGCCATAAAGAATGAGAAACTAGAGGCATTTATAGCTAAATGGATGCACACTGAGGGCATACTCACAAGTGAAATAAATAGGACACACGTTTGTAAATACCGAATAGTTTCTCTGGTGTGAGAAACTGCAAGAGTAAATGAGGACCAAAATATATAATAGATAATGTAAAATAGGAAGAAAAGGGCCAAAGGGTAGAGGAACTAGAGATGGGGTGGGGGAAAGGAAAGAAGGGAAGGAAAAAGTATGAGAAGGAAAAAATGGAAAGGAAGTTTCTGTAAACAGGGAGAGGTGGAGGAGTTAAGGGAAGGCAGGGGAAAGGGGAAAAAATAAGAACCAAGATACATCATGTACAGGTACAAATTCCCAATGATGAATGTCTTCATAATGTATACCTAGAATGTACCAATAAACTGCATGGGAAAAAAAGAAACAGATATCCACCAACCAATAAAAAAACATAAAAAGGAGAGCTGTGTGAGTCTCCCAAGAGCACTTGTCTTGAGGGAGAGACGAGGTGACGGCAGAGTGGGGAACTGCTTGGCTTTGACCCCCGCCTGCCTGCAGGAAGCCAAGTTGTGTCCCTGTACGGAGATCATAACAAGTGTGAAGAAAGTGTATTGTGCACCTCACATAGGTTGGCAGCAGTTCTCAGCGGCCAAGAGACAAACTGGTGTTCTCAGTTCTAGTCTTTGGCAAGTTATACAGACACAAGAGATACTTTCATTGTATTCTAGGCTTAAATACTTAACCTCCTTTAATGTAGTCCTCTTGGGTAAGAACCATGTATTCTATTCCACACTTGAGCAAATCTCAGGCTTTCCAGGTGGTTCTGCTTCCCTAAGCTTTCACTGGTATATACGCACACACAGTGAGTGGCAGACCTGGGATTTGAACCCAGAACTCTATGGCTTCAGAGCCCACGCTCTGAATGACTATTATTCAGCCATGTGTAGACTTGGGCAATTGAAATAAGTTCTTCATCAAAGATTCTAATGTAATTACTATTGTTTTTTCTTTCTATAAATGATCTCTTTATTAAGTCACACATTCACTGAATATATGGGAAAAAATTTTAAACTTAAGCAATATTTTCTGAAAATCATCAAATAATCTCTACCCCATTCATATGACAACATTGCTCTTACCATAAGCAGCTCGTCTTAATTATTTTACTCTGAAAATATGGTTGTGTCCTCTTTTCTGTATCTTGAGGAAGAGGTAACAACTAACAAGCTGTCATAACTGCAATAGCCAGCATCCATGGTGGATTCTCTTCTCAAGTGTTGGAGACTTTATCAAACCCTTATTTTACCCGTGTGAAGTTACCACAATGTAGGAACCTGGAGGGCAGGAGGAAAAGGACTGGGATGCATTGAGGAGTGCATTCTCACTTCCATGTTTCTTAGCTGATTTAATGCTCACAATCACCAGGAGGTGTAATTGTCATAGGCCACATTTTGAGGATGAAGAAGTGGACAGCTCAATTAAGTATCTATGGGGAACATACACAGAAGTGAGTAAATAGCTGGCAAGCAGATACAAGCCCATTTAACTCAACTGGGCCATTTATATTGTAATGTGAACATTTTAAGTGAGAGTGAAAAAAATAACTGTCATCTTCCGAGGAGACCTTGTTAATAGCAAACACTGTGCCCACTCCGTGATAGAATAACCTGCATAACAACTTTTACTTCAATTCCATGGGCGAGAAAACTCGGGTAAAAGTATAATCAGTTTCTTAAGGTCACAGGGAGTTGGGTTTCATTCTCAAATCTGTTTGACTTCCAAAGTTTTTTCCATAAACACAGCTCTGAATTTGTCAATTCAGAGAGGCTGGGTTTCGATCAACAGAAGATACACTTGCCTTTGATTTTGACACAGCGAGACCTCATTAGCTTGTACCTGCTGATCTGACATCTGGGATAATTTAGAGTTGGACCACATTTGGACTCCTTTGGAACAACAAGTTCGGTAAACAAATAAATGCCTTAAAGGAATTGCTGAGAGGAATACTTTGAAGTACTTAGGGAAACAAGCCACATTCTGGGCAATCAACAGCAATCAGAACAATTTCTTGTGCATTGTGGATCCTCAACAAATGCAGAAGGCGTAAACTCCAGGAGCATTCTACCTCCCAGCAATACTGCGCTAATTACAAATAATATTTAGTTATTCACCATACCAGCTCCATACGGGCTGCTCAACAGGAAACTCAAATTAGCTTCGCATATGTTCACGGGGCTGTTATATACTTAAATAGGACCAAACTGCCAGTTCTTTAAAAATTAAATTTCATACATTAGAATTTCACAAAGCTCTGCTAGTCTTCTCTTTATATCATACCCAGAAATGAGAAATGACTCTTAGTCATTCTGTGCTCTAGAGGGTTATAACAATAAATGCAGAAGGGATAAAAATGTTACCCATCCTGTAGTTTCCCTGCCCATTTTCCTTCCTGCCCTCTCCTTCTCTGGGTGAGAGTGCCAGAGCAGGAATAGGTGTGTTTCAGAGCTGATTCATTTGATGTGCAGAAGTGGCGACTTTACCGGCCCCCGACCGCTTGGCATTATCAAATGCTGCTTGAGCAGAGTTGTGCCTTGGAATTCATCTCTGACAGCTTGCCCTTCAGGTTTATCTTGAGGAATAAAATCTTGGCAAAGGAGATGGAGGAGAGAAACTGGGAGTCGAGTTGGAGAGGGTCTACTTATATTCTTCTGGCAGGCATCTATGGCCCTTTGTCCATTGCAGGTGTCTTTTTATTGCTTTGCCCCTTTGGCCTGGTCAGCAAAGATGGTCAGGCTGCTCCTAGGCATTTGTGCCATCCACTCTGACCATGAAAAATCCATCTCCCTACTTCTCTCACTGCACCCATTATGCGGTTTTGTAAAGTCTCATCATCTATCTTGCCATTTCCACTCTCTCACGGTAGGACTTCAGATGTCGAGATAGAAGCATTAGTTCCCCAAACGTAGAATTGTGTGGCTGTACATGCATGAGCATTTCCTTGTATGTATGTATGCCTCTGTGTGTGTGTGTGTGTGTAAGGTGTAGGTCCCACTGAGGATGGACAAATAGCTGTACATAGACAGATAACCTCTCTCTGTCTATACCACATGCAAATTTAATGAAAAGTGTGAGGCAGATGTTTTGCAGGGGCCGGGGAAAATAATGTTCCCAGTGGAAGTTGTGACTTGACAGAGACACAGAATTTCCCATGATGATATTCGGGTGAAAAGGCTACATCTCCACTCTTGGGAGTTTTGTCTACCTAAGGGGAAAGACCTGCTAAATTTTATGCCTACTGAAGTTTGAGCATGTTGAATGTGCTGGGAAACGACTTTTATTTCTTTGCTTCTTACAGGAGGAATTCATACCAGCAGTTTCAAGAGTAAGAATTATTTTGTATTACTTAATATCATAGGCACCAAGGCATCGTTTTGATTGGATTTTAAATATAAAGGTAAGATTTAGGTATTATATATCCCCCAAAGGCTCTCTGCTTTTTAAGGCTTGGCTGCTGAGGGGGTTTGGGGAAGGGACTGGATCTCCAGGGCTGTCATGCTATCCGTGGAATAGTCCACCGAGGAGACCACAAATTGATTGCATTTGGGGAGTTGACAGAGACGGGAGGTGGGTGCTAGCTGAAGGGAATAGATCACTGTAGCCTGGCCTTGGGGACTGCATCTAGTCCCCAACCCCTTCTGTGATGGTTGACTGATTATGTCAACTGGAGCAACAGAAACTCAACTAAATTAGCTCAG